TTAGATTGGGTTTTTTAATTATGAATATTCATAAATTATTATATTTATTCATTCGAACTGAGTAACTGGGAGAGTCGGTCTACAGCCGTTATAATCATGCAGTTGTTTCTATGATAGACACGTTGTACCATCAGATCTCAGTGAAGCCGTTTTCTTTGGCTAGGCACTATGTATCATCAGATCTCAGTGAAACTACTTTATTTGTCAGACACAAGGTACCATCACATCTCCGTGAAGCTGTTTTCTTTGTACAGACAAAATGTATCATCAGATCTCAGCGAAATTATTTTATTTGTCAGGCACAATGTACTATCACATCTCCGTGAAGCTGTTTTCTTTGTCCAGACACAATGTATCATCAGATCTCAGCGAAATTATTTTATTTGTCAGACACAAGGTATCATCACATCTCCGTGAAGCTGTTTTCTTTGGCTAGGCAAAATGTATCATCAGATCTCAGTGAAACTACTTTATTTGTCAGACACAATGTACTATCACATCTCCGTGAAGCTGTTTTCTTTGTCCAGACACAATGTATCATCCGATCTCCGTGAAGCTGTTTTCTATTGCCAGACACAATGTACTATCACATCTCCGTGAAGCTGTTTTCTTTGTCCAGACACGATGTATCAAAATCTCCGCGAAGCTGTTTTCCTTTGCCAGACACGATGTACCATAAATCTCCGTGAAGCTGTTTTCCTTGGCCAGACACGATGTACCATAAAATCTCCGTGAAGCTGTTTTCCTTGGCCAGACACTATGTGCCATCAGATCTCATTGTATACTCATCTCAGATCATTGTATACTCCCAGGGAGTTGAGATAGATAATACTATGTGCCATTGAGATTAACATCAACACAATGTACCATCAGATGTCCGTGAAGCTGGTTTATTTGTCAGACACAATGTGCCGTCAGACCTCAGCAGGATACGTCATCTCCATAACGGATTTGTGAGTGATACGCCTGCCATTCAGTTGTTCTGAGGTAGAGCGTCCGAATGGTTCATCAGAAATGCCAGATTTAAACAGAGGAAACAGGTTTGTCTTCAGTGACAGGAGGTCATTCCATTGTGGGATCCAGTGTATTATTGACAAGTGTCAAGTTATCAATTTGGTTGACTATGTTTAAGGAGATGTTGGTACAGTGTGTTAGTATATATTTGCAGCTGTCTCATACATTGGGCTATGCACATTGCACCTACTGCATCGGGCATCAAATTCGGCCTGACGAGCAAACACTTTAACCACAAAGCTACCTTTTCGCTTCAATACTTAGATGAGAACTGTTGATCACTAGGTTGTCTGGTTCAGACTCGCTGCCATATAGCTGGAATATTGCTGAGTGCGGTGTAAAACTAAACTCACTCACTCACTCACTCACTCACTAGATGAGAACTTATCTTACCTAACACTTAAATGTCGTTTTCTGATTGGCTGAGTGTTCTTCTATTATTTTTAATGTACCCCGCTTACAAGCAAGTAACATTTTCTATGGTACCGGCTGGGAATGCCGAACTGTGGGAATTCATTTGGTACTTTGTGTTAGTAATTCTTGAATAATTGAGTCACGTATGATATACGGAAATTACCGATGTTTTGCAAATGCAAATCGGTTGAAGGGAGATAACTCTAAAATTGTTTTTCTTGTCTGCAAGATTCTATGTCATCTAAAAATCTAGTATTGGAGTGAGTGAGTGAATGAGTTTAGTTTTACGCTGCACTCAGCAATATTCCAGCTATATGGCAGCGGTCTGTAAATAATCGAGTCTGGACCAGACAATCCAGTAATCCACAGCAGGAGCATCGATCTGCCCAATTGGGAACCGATGACATGTGTCAACCAAGTCAGCAAGCCTGACCACCCGATCCTCTTAGTCGCCTCTTACGACAAGCATGGGTTACTGAAGATCAATATTCTAACCCGGGCCTTCCCGGGTATAGTATTGGATAATTACCTCACTCTAGTACTCCTTATATGAACCGATACCCGTGCTTCAAACAGTTCAAAATTAACATTGACATGTTCCGTAAGATGAATATGTTGTTCACTGGTCCCTCTGGGCCATGGGTTGATGTCCCCTCTACGCTTGTTTGTAAGCAGGGGGAACATTAAACAAACATAGAGGGTACATCAACAATGTGTGTACTTGCAATCTCTGAACAATGTTTGAATGTGTAGTCCCTGCGCCAGGCATATGTTAGTGTACTAGCAGAACAGTGTGAACGTGTAACCCCTGTAAAAGCAAGGAACGATAATGTGTGTATGTGTAATCTGTGAACAAAGTGTATGTGTAATCTGTGAACAGGGTGTGCGTGTAATCTGTGAACAAGGTGTGCGTGTAATCTGTGAACAATGTGTGCGTGTGAACAAGGTGTGCGTGTAATCTGTGAACAAGGTGTATGTGTAATCTGTGAACAAGGTGTATGTGTAATCTGTGAACAAGGTGTGCGTGTAATCTGTGAACAAGGTGTGCGTGTAATCTGTGAACAAGGTGTGCGTGTAATCTGTGAACAAGGTGTGCGTGTAATCTGTGAACAAGGTGTGAGCAAGTAATCTCTTCACAAGGTGTGTCCACGTGTTACCTCTGTGCACGTGTACATTGTAACCTCGGTGTCTTCACGTGTAATCTCTGAACACGGTATGTGCATGTGTAATCTCTGAACAAAGAGTGTGTGTGTGTGTGTGCGTGTGTACGCGTGCGAGCGTGCGCGCGCGCCCACATACGTGTAATCAGTGAACACGGCATATGCACGCGTTACCTCTCAACACGGTGTTTGCAGATGTAATCTCGGAACTCGGTCTGAATACGTGTAATCTCTAGGAAAGGTATGTGGTTGCATATTTGAGACCATCGCGTGACAACTGCAATTGTTTCACAATTTCTCTTATTAGGAACACTACCTCATGGACTGATCAATGCGTCGTAATTCAGTTGTTACTTCTGTGTACATGTTCAGGTAGGTTAACAAAGGAGGAAAATACAAAGGGCGTCGTCATTCAGGACACGATTTCCTTCCGTTATTCACGAGTATGTAATACCGAGTTAATAAGCTATTCAGTGTATTGAATAAAAAATACAAATTGAACTGACTAATAAAACCGCATGCTCTTCAATCAATTTCTAGGCCCCCGAAACAGTTTTAAAACGCAAAAAAAACATGTAGGGTTACTGAATATTGTTTTAGGCCGTGGCCTGGTCGATAACATTTAATCCCCCAGGATACAAAGACTCACAATCTGTCAGGTCGCACATTGAACAACCCGATCATGAGTACTACACAATCATTAGGTAATAGTATGCCCCTGTTTGATTTGAATTACTCATTTAACTCAGCAATATTCCAGCTATGTCTACCCTGTCTGTCAGCTGATCCCTTAAGTCGTCTTTATACATACGTCATGATATGGCTGAAATATTGCCGATGTGACGATAAATATTAACTCACTCACTTTATACATACTGGATGCTGAAGACAGGCTTCCTACAGGGTTTTCGACTCCAGAAGCCAGACCAACCCATTAATGCTGAGCGCCAGGCAGGGACCAGGTACCATATTTTAACGTCTTTCGGTATGACGCGGCAAGAGACACACATGGGGTCCATCCCCCATCCGTTTTCAGCAGATAGTCATGAGTAAATCGACTGTGACTAATACGACATCGTCGTAAAATTACCGCATCACGTCTTGACTGACAACCCAAGCGTAGGTATAACCAATTGTTGGTTTCTAGTTCATACAGTTTATTTCTTCCTACTTGAGTGTCCCATCGTTTTGCATGAGGTCCCCGAGTATAGCTTTTGATAGTGGGTTTTGAAATCACTGTATGGGATCAGCAGTGGAGATAAGGGCTTGTCAAGAGCTGCTTTTGCTGCAGCATCGGCTTTTGTGTTACCTGCATTGCCTACGTGACCTGGCAACCAGCAGAGGACGATGTCACATTGGCTTTCGGTATGACGCGGCCGGGGATCGAACGCACGACCTTCCGCTCTCCGGGTGGACGCTCTCACCACTACACCACGGAGGCTGTCCATGAAGCATCCGGAGCATTACGAGTGAGTGAGTGAGTTTAGTTTTACGCCGCACTCAGCAATATTCCAGCTATATGGCGGCGGTCTGTTTATAATCGAGTCTGGACCAGACAATCCAGTGATCAACAACACGAGCATCGATCTGCGCAATTGGGAACCGATGACATGTGTCAACAAAGTCAGCGAGCCTGACCACCCGATCCCGTTAGTCCCCTCTTACGACAAGCATGGGTTACTGAAGGTCAATAGTCTAACCCCGATCTTCACGGGTTCAGAGCATTACGAACTGTCGTTACTCAGCTGCGAGGTCGTAGCGCTACGAATGCTTTGTGGACCCGGTCCCTGTTTTGTTTAAACTAAACAACACAGTTATGGTGATGATAAACCATAACCGTGGAAAACTGGGATTCAAACTCACGAACATAGGGTTGCAACTTCGTATAGTGGCTGGGGTGGTGGGTTAGCTTAGTGGTTAAAGCATGGTAATATGTGTGAAACCCATTTCTGGTGTCCTCTGCCGTGATATTGCTGGAATATTGCTAAAAGCGGCGAATAACCAAACTCACTCACCCACACGAATTGTGGCGGCCTAAAGTAAATAGCGTCCTAATTAGACTAAAGGTTTGTTTGGATAGACCCTAAAGGTTTGTTTTTTAAATACGCGCATCACTATAATTCCTTGTTGAGGTCACGTGACTACAACCCAGTGACCAGTGACAGAGGAAGAGAGGGACATGGCAGAGGGATGGTAGTGAACAGGACAGAGACAGAGGGATGACAGAGGGACAGGGACAGAGACAGAGGGACAGTGACAGAGGGACAGAGACAGAGGGACAGAGACAGAGGGACAGTGGCAGAGGGACAGTGACAACAGTGACATGGAATTTTTAAATACAGAGGGACATCACTGACATAATTGACAGAGGGACAGAGACCTTGTTGACATGGGAACAGTCACAGAGGGACAATGACAGAGGGACAACATAAGAACAGTGACAGAGGGACAGAGACAGAGGGACAGAGACAGAGGGACCCAGTGACCAGTGACAGAGGGACAGTGACAAAGGGGGGGACAGGGACAGTGACAGAGGGACAGAGGGACAGAGGAACAGAGACAGAGGGACAGTGACAGAGGAACAGTGACAGAGGACAGTGACAGAGGGACAGAGACAGAGGGACAGAGACAGAGGGACAGTGACAGAGGGACAGAGACAGAGGGACAGAGACAGAGGGACAGAGGCACAGTACAGTGACAGAGGAACAGTGACAGAGGGACAGTGACAGAGGGACAGTGACAGAGGGACAGAGACAGAGGGACAGAGGGACAGTGACAGAGGACACAGTACAGGGACAGAGACAGAGGGACAGAGAGAGGAACAGTGACAGAGGGACAGTGACAGAGGGAGGAGGGACAGTGACAGAGGTACGGGGACAGAGGGACAGAGACAGAGGGACAGTGACAGAGGTACAGGGACAGAGACAGAGGGACAGAGACAGAGAAACAGTGACAGAGGGACAGAGACAGAGGGACAGTGACAGAGGGACAGTGGCAGAGGGACAGTGACAGAGGGACAGAGACAGAGAAACAGTGACAGAGGGACAGTGGCAGAGGGACAGTGACAGAGGGACAGAGACAGAGGAACAGTGACAGAGGAAAAGTATAATTTACTGATAAATAATGTCAGCACAATTCACGACAAATGAAAGAATTAAAGTTTGATATGTAAGCAAACCCTTTGTTTATTTTCGTAAAATCCACTGAAATGTCACACTTACTATCTACTGAAATCAATTTTTACTATCACGCTTTAACCCGGAAGCTGAACCCAGGAATTCCCGAGCAAAGGTAGCGCGTTGCTATAAATAGATACACAAGGGTCAAAGTTCAGCTGTTAACGTTCAAGGGAAGGTTGTGGTAGTGTGTTGGTTTGGTAGAGTGTCTCCGAGCAGACAGGTTATTTGGATAAATTCTTTCTACGAGATTTTAAGGTAAGAGGAATGTTTTATACACATTATATCTCATATTCAGATACCCTTCATACAACCTTGTCCCATGTAATCTACAATACCCAAACTGACGCATGTCTGTTTAGTGACGTTCTGTGATTGTACGGCTATGTTGTAATACCTCGAGCCGTGAATATTCTTTCAGCATTTATCAACAGTGGTGGCAAGGTGTCCACAAGTAACTCGACAACATGTTTAAAGTATTCTGGGTCGTCGCAGATAACGACCTCGTCTTCTGTCACACGTGACAATGTTTGTACCTACTATATACTCACTATACCTTGACGGGTTTGAGTTACATACCACGCAAGAAGTCATTTGAAACCGTTGAAGAAAAAAATGAGGGCAGATTAATCTAAGGGGAGAGAAATAAACCAAGGCACAGGCTGTCAGATTTCCATCTAGTAATGTTTACTGATACGCGGTGAACACGAACATTTTTAAGAAATATATTAAAGTCGTATAAAATACATCTCAATAACTCGGTAAATATTTAGTAACCTATATAGTCCTCCCTTAGACCCCATTACTTTGACCTAGTTGACCATGTTGATCAATTGCCCTTTTTAGGTAAGACGTGGTTGTGTATCATGTGTAGGCATTACTTGTACAGGAAGTAAGAGGTAAGACGTGGTTGTGTATCATGTGTAAGCGTGTAGGCATGACTTGTACAGGAAGTAAGAGGTAAGACCATGTTGACTTGTACATGGCATGACTTGTAGGCATGACTTGTACAGGAAGTAAGAGGTAAGACGTGGTTGTGACATGTGTGCATGTGTGTGTAAGATGTGTATGTGTAGGCATGCAGGAAGTAAGAGGTAAGACGTGGTTGTGTATCATGTGTAGGCATGACTTGTACAGGAAGTAAGAGGTAAGACGTGGTTGTGTATCATGTGTAGGCATGACTTGTACAGGAAGTAAGAGGTAAGACGTGGTTGTGTATCATGTGTAGGCATGACTTGTACAGGAAGTAAGAGGTAAGACGTGGTTGTGTATCATGTGTAGGCATGACTTGTACAGGAAGTAAGATAGGTTTTCCTTCGAGATTCTTTATTACTGTGTAACTAGAGTTTCATTTACATTCATCAGGAAAGGGTGACGGATGTGTCTCGTGAGCTGTTTGGTATTTCTATCACTTTGTGAAAGATTCATATGCAAATTATATGGGGCTTGTCGAGGTAGCTTGTTTGAGCTCGTGTTCATGGGAACGCATAGGCTTGTCAACTGTTAACTTTCGTTGTCTATCGTTAACTATATGTTATGGACGTGTGAGCTAGCTAGGTTTAAGGCAACTTTGAAATTCTTTTTTTGTCCTATGACGACATGCATCCGTAACGTGCATGGTCGCGCGCGCGCCTGCGTGCGTGTGTGTGTGTGTACATATGTGTGTGCGTTCGCACTTAATATCAACCTGTATAAAAATGGCATCAATTGTCTAGATATTTATCAATGATTATTATACATGTACCAGGGTAGCATATATCTCAGTAACATCTTCTATTCGACAACATCATCTTGCACACATTTCACCAACGATGTCAGCCCTGTTAACAAGATAATTGTAGTTTAGGGCAGGTTAAGTAAGCTGGATTGCGTGTTGCCTAGCTGTTATCGAAGGATCTGGGTTTTACCGTCTATTCAGTGTGTTCCGTGATTTATGAGGTGTTTGCAATAGGCACTGGGTCATATCACACACAAGACTGAAATGTCTGAAAAACGCTGTGCCGGTTATGCTATCTATATGATTTAAATTATTTTGGCCATAGAATCACCATGACGAAAATAGCTTTTACAATCATTATGGACCCCTGGAAATTATCTTGGATTCTTGCACCAGTTACAATACGTGATTATCAGGTTGCGCCGACCTGTCCTCCTAGCGTATTGTTTTAATGCATGTCGGTGATGCAGGACATGCTTACCCTGTTCCCGAACACCGGGTGTCATCACTGATTTTCAGGAGCTTATTCATATAATTTTCGCAGCTGGTTTGCCTCTTAAACCAAATCGATATCTGTGTGTGAGGTCAGCGAAGTTCATTCATGCATTCATTCATTCATTCATTCATTCATTCAAATGGTGCTGACAAGTCTATAAACATAGCCAGGTCGAACCTGCCCCGATGGTTTAGGTATATGTCTCCAGATGTCAACCACACGTTTGCCAGACCAAACTCGATCGATTACAGCCCGCCTAGATACACCTGGAATAGCGTTCGCACGTCGCTCCACAGACCGGGGTTCGATTCCCCACATGGGTACAATGTGTGGTGCTCGTTTCTGGTGTCCCCCGCCGTGATAGTGTTGGAATATTACTAAAAGCAGCATAAAACCCATCCTCGATAATCTCCAGGGTATACGTTACGATCACTCTCCATAGTCCATACTCACTCTCTTTCTCTAGCTGAAACAAATTCAGAAATCCGCGTCCGGGATCATTTCAGAACATCCTAGAAAAACGATGAATACTTTCCATTAGTTTCGCCGGATATCTAAAAACGTGAAAGGAAACGGTGTTGTCAAGGTGACAAAAAATATACACCATGAATGTCTTTCAAAGAGAAACGCAGCTAGTATTTGAACAATCAGCTGACTCTAGACACGGTCACAGATTTACATACTATCTTGGGTCGGTTATCAAAAGGGGACAGCGTGCACTAAATCTACAATGGCGTCATGGGATCGGTGTATTGACGGTCTGAAAAACTGACTCGATACGGGTAAAGGGAATGTTGGCCGTTAAAGAAACAATATTTTCTCTGTCACTTCTTAAGCATTTGTTTCTCTGTGAAATAGGAGAAACACTTCCTTTATCCACAGAAGCTATAAACTTGTGGTACAGCATTCTTGTAAGAAATTCATCAAATGTATTAAATTAGAAAAAAAACATCTTTTAAAACAACAACAAATACAAATACAACATATTCAAAATTATCCATTACGCTAAAATAATTGGTTAAATGACGACATCAGCAGTTTTTACAAGAAACAAAATCTTAGTAAAGTGAGGAAAATATTATACAGCAATTTCTCCTCACATCATCAGCTTCTCCCTCCTGTGCGATACCCCGATGCTGATAATGGATACAAGCAGGGCTCGACAAGGCTCCATACCGGTCAACATCCGTCTCCAACATCCAGTTTCAGAACATAGATGTGTTATGGCTTCTTTTTCTCTGTAACAGAAGTATACTTTCGAACTGTTTAAATCTCCATGCGATAATTTTACATGTTTGTTCGATCTGACGAAATATATTTAAATCCTATATTTTTCATAATACATATGTACAGATATTTTGTCTATTTCTCTAGAGGGAGTGTGTGGGTGTATGTATGTACGCGCATTAAAGCGATCGCTCGTCACGCCCAAGACCCGATTTCGATTCGCCACATGGTGTCCCCCCGCCGTGATATTGCTAAAAGCGGCGTGAAACAAAACTCACTCACTCACTGTCTGGGTCAGGTACAACATGGGTACAGAAATGAGTAGATGCCGTACACCCGCTAGGAAAGACAATGTTTGACCATGTTGATTGTGGTTTTCATGTGTCTCACTCCGTTACTCGTCCACTACCACAGACTAGCTTACGACCCAAGCCATGTACAAGTAATCATAATATTACACGAATACCAACGATTAGGTTTCTCTTCCAACATGTTCAAGGGATCGCGTGTGTATAAAACGCATGTTAACGTGTGTGGTTTTTTTTTACTTGACCTTGAATGAGAACCACTGCATTTCGACATATAATTTACAAGATATGTATGACTCATAACTGACAATAACCTGAGATAACATTTAGTGTGTTTGCATGTACAGCGTACAGTACTGATATATCCTGATGACATATTCTCGTCGCTATGCCCCCACATCCTGATACACCTGTTATCAGGAACCCCGTGTAAGAGACGCATGTAATACTGTGCTATTTCCAATACGAGAAGGTCTGTATAACAAGCTATGCGAGTACTCTGATTGTAGGATCTAGGAGGACAGCGATAAGACCTATTTGATAAACCTGCTGCTGAAAGTCCGTCAGGCTCTGTATGTATTTGATATTTCATTATTTGGTCAACGATTTGACATGTTGGGTAGTTATATCATCAATTCATTATATTATTGTGATATTTCCTAAATTCACAATGGCCTACCTGAAAACTCGTCATATCCAACTGTGTATACCACAGTCCCTGAACCAAACTATTTTCCTTCCAGTCAATCCCTCAAAGTAATTTAAATTACCCTCAGTGAAATGAAGTTTTTCCACATCTCATTTATTCCACTTTTCAATTTAAATTAAATTTTGTTACTTTGCATTATTTTTGTATTTGAGTTGAAACACATCTCCTAAAACACGAATGTCCCAGGTAGGTAGGTAGGTAGGTAAGTAGGTAAGTAGGTAAGTAGGTAGGTAAGTAGGTAGGTAGGTAGGTAGGTAGGTAGGTAGGTAGGTAGGTAGGTAGGTAGGTAGGTAGGTAGGTAGGTAGGTAGGTAGGTAGGTAGGTAGGTAGGTAGGTAGGTAGGTAGGTAGGTAGGTAGGTAGGTAGGTAGGTAAGGTTTTAGGGCGACCTTGGGTCTCAAAAGGCCTATATGCGCCCAACAATTAACAAACTGTTATAAGTTAAATTATGTCATACTTCCCAGTTTTAACAAGGAAGTCTAACACAGCTCTTTGTATGCAACCATGCATTAAATTATCGCCAAGTAGTGTGTTCATTGTAAAAAGGTTTTTGGTTTCTTTAAGCACAGTTTCTTTAAGAGCCTTACGTGGGTTTTCATGAGTAGGACGTTCAATGAGATAGCGCTGAACTGTTTCTGGGCAATGTAAGTCACAGCATTCACATAGAGGAGATAGGTCTTTATCGAAAATACTTATATATGCCTTCAATCCACAATGTCCTGCCTGAGGCCAATTAAAACAACTGCGTCTCTGCGACAACGCCGACGAATTTTAAAATGTTTGTTTACTACTGGACAAGTAGAGTACATGTATCTACCAGTAGTGTCAATGTCCCATTTATTTTGCCAAGATGCATTTATTGAAGAGGAAATTGGAATTGGCTTAATAGCTTCAATATCTAGCTGTTGAGCGTTGCAAGCCATCTAGGAAGTTTGTATCAAGATACAAGATGTCATATAGTATGTCACTGCGGGGACCTTGTACACCTGATTGAATTGCTTGTACAGCTGACAACGAATCAGTAAAAAATATTGCTTCGTGTTCATTATCTTTTACCCATTTTAATACTTGAAGTATGGCTGCCGAATGTCCCAGTCGTTTCAGTAGAGTTGCCTCCCTTTTGTGTGCCTGAAACCCGAGGCGTGGGTTCGAATCCCATTTAGCTATGATATCATAATATTTAGTTTTGTCAGTAAGAGTGGTGAGAATTTAAGACCGCATTACTTCGGCTTGCATCTGACACGAAGCCTATCCGTGCTGTATGTGCAGTAACAGTTCAAACTCGGCGTAAAACCGAACCTAATGGCTTATTACCTTCACCCTCCAACACCCATGTTCCATCCTATTAACCCACTGGGCTAAACAGACGTCAGTTCGTGTATACCTGAACGCTCAACAGCCTCCATTCTCCCTGCACACGTCTCACCAAACAAACAAAATAGGCCCACACTCCCACGAAGCTGCAACACAGTCGAGTGTGACGTGCATTGTGGGAGACAGACAAGACAGTGTTGTACTGGACCACTGAAGTACGTATAATGAAGGCCACTACACAAGGAGGTCACCATTCAGAAGGGACTGTTGCACAGGGCGTCGTAATTGTCGGATTGCGGATTGTCGCCAGCACAGCGTTAATGTATGCTACTGTCGGGATGTCAGGTACTGTGACACTAGGGTAGAGTCCTACTCCATCGCTTCATTTGAGGGGGGCGGTGGGGTAGCCTAGTGGTTAAAGCGTTCACTCGTCACGCCGAAATCCGGGTTTGATTCCCCACATGGGTACAATGTGTGAAGCCCATTTCTGGTGTCCCCCGCCGTGATATTGCTGGAATAAACTCACGCACTCACTGATTTGATGCTGGACGGGGGTCGACCTTCATATTGCATTTTTTCACCTCGGATCTGAAGCTGGTTTGAATCCCCTCACGGGACTTGGAACTGTATTGGCAACTACATACTTACATGTCCTGAAATATCGGATATGTCGACCTATCAGTTATCTCGATACCTGTTGTTCAAAGGCACGGCTAATGATGCTGTGGGTGTGCATATCGAAATGAATTCGCGTCTTCCGTTTAGTTCGTTATCCCATGACTTAAAAGCTGACACTTAGCGGGGAGATGATTGATATGTTTCACGACGAGGAATTCTCGTGCTTGTTTAAAGCATTAACTGTTTGTCAGCTCAGTTTCTATAACCGGAGAAGATTGTTCTATAGTTAAATTTCAGTATTTGTACAGCAATACATGGTTAAATTCTAGTATATTCATTTCCCTAAATAGCCAAACCAGTGAGAGTATGAACAACAAATAAATCATTGGTCTGTATTACAAGGGCGTATGTACATTAAATGAAACACTGAGGACAAGAAGGGTTGGGCTAAGGTAACGCTCATCACATACCGCACGTGCATTTGCGTCACTGTTCCAACTAATGCGCTTACCCCCTTGGAATGCGAACTAATAATAGCGATTTGAATCTATGATTGTTTGTTAAACAACTTTCACCCTAAGTTGAATAAGATTCTGAGATTTAAATGTTCAGTTGGCAAGGTAAAATTATGAGGATTCGCAATCTTAATTTCACTTGATTTACTTTTTTGTTTAAAGTGAAATTCATCGGTACATTTTCACTGCAAACAGACTTTTTATAGCCACTGCTGACACCCACCCATCTGGATCGTTGATGATGAGTGAGTGAGTGAGTGAGTTTGGGTTTACGCCGTTTTTAGTGAGTGAGTGAGTGAGTTTAGTTTTACGCCACTTTCAGAAATATCACGGCGGGGGACACCAGAAATGAGCATCACCCATTGTACCCATGTGGGGGAATCGAACCCTGGTCTTCGGCGTGACGAGCGAACGCTTTAACCACTAGGCTACCCTACCGCCCCGGATCGTTTATGGTGTTATTGACCACAGTTTTGTCTGGTCAGACAGATTTATTGCCCCCATGATATCACTGTAATATATCTAACTTAAAGTGACATAACACTGTGTTATGTGCAGCTGAATATTCGTTCCTTATTGGCAGAACGCGTATCAACGCACGTTTCTGGTAAACCAACAGCGAATGGGTACCCGGTAGAATTAGGTGTAATGTGACTGTTAACCTTATCAGATAGGGTGTTGTATTATTCCGGGGATGTTGACATTGGACAAGACACGTATTCGCTACCAGGGCAAACATGGTGTTGCACTGGAACCATACACTGTCAATCTAACGCATCATAAATATTGAACACAACAAACAGAAAACTCGGTCTACAAAAGACCTGAAAACTATCGAAACTGAAAGTCGATGTATGGCTTTTATCCGGCGGTAACCATGGATATTATGACTTTGTCATGTTTTACAGAATAAAACAAACTCAAGCAGCTGAGAGAGGCAGGGTGGTCATGGGGGTAGTCAGGATGGTAAGGCTCATCATAAGCCCAGGGTCCTTGCTTCCTTAACGCATCCCAAAAAATCCAATGGGACTTCTCTTAGGAAGTGCTGCCTAGAACTGCAGCCTTCTACATTACCCAGAAGATGCTGCCAGGGTACTGTCCCACTGTCAGTCAAAAGATTGGGACGTACCAAACCTAAGGCACCAATAACAATGGAGAATCGGACAAAAGAAGCGTGACATTTTGTAAGCGAGGCTTGCATATTTGCCACAATTCTCTTGAATCTTGTCATTAACATATATGTCAAAAGGGACAGAAAATTCAACGATGTTGATAATTTCATTAGTTTTATCAAAAACGACAAGATCAAATTTGGTGGCTTGGTTCCGTCTGATGCTGTATATGGGTTTGATTCCAACGAAGTGTGTTGATGTCATATTCCAAGACGCCTCTACATATTCTTCGTACTATGGATGGACCTCAGTGTCACAAGCATGGCGAAATACGGTAGCAAAAGGATGCTATGTCATCATGCTCGTCTTTCAGGGCAAATAATGCATCCATCCCGCTGATATTCTTGTGCTCATGATACCATCATGCTCGTCTTTCAGGGCAAATAATGCATCCATCCTGCTGATATTCTTGTGTTCACGATACCATCATGCTCGTCTTTCAGGGCACATAATGCAGCCATCCCGCTGATATTCTTGTGCTCATGATACCATCATGCTCGTCTTTCAGGGCACATAATGCAGCCATCCCGCTGATATTCTTGTGCTCATGATACCATCATGCTCGTCTTTCAGGGCAAATAATGCATCCATCCCGCTGGTATTCTTGTGCTCATGATACCATCTATTCGTCTTTCAGGGCAAATAATGCATCCATCCCGCTGATATTCTTGTGTTCACGATACCATCATGCTCGTCTTTCAGGGCACATAATGCATCCATCCCGCTGATATTCTTGTGCTCATGATACCATCATGCTCGTCTTTCAGGGCAAATAATGCATCCATCCCGCTGGTATTCTCGTGTTCACGATACCATCATGCTCGTCTTTCAGGGCACATAATGCAGCCATCCCGCTGATATTCTTGTGCTCATGATACCATCATGCTCGTCTTTCAGGGCAAATAATGCATCCATCCCGCTGATATTCTTGTGCTCATGATACCATCATGCTCGTCTTTCAGGGCAAATAATGCATCCATCCCGCTGATATTCTTGTGCTCATGATACCATCATGCTCGTCTTTCAGGGCAAATAATGCATCCATCCCGCTGATATTCTTGTGTTCACGATACCATCATGCTCGTCTTTCAGGGCACATAATGCAGCCATCCCGCTGATATTCCTGTGCTCATGATACCATCATGCTCGTCTTTCAGGGCAAATAATGCATCCATCCCGCTGGTATTCTTGTGCTCATGATACCATCATGCTCGTCTTTCAGGGCACATAATGCAGCCATCCCGC